CTCTGGTCTCTCTTATTTCCACTTTACACTGCTGCAGCAAATCTGATTGGTGATATTGTCCTTACAACTCTCAAGAACAGCTGTTTGAAAGATGCTTTAAATAGCGATAGTAGCTGCAAGCATGCTGTCTTCATGTTCTTTCTGTTTTGCTTTCATGTTCACAGTAACGAGTTTGTTTTAGCTCATGAAGCCTTCCTTTGTTACAAAAAAAAAAGTCACCATCAGTTGAAAGACCTGCCTTGTCCCCCACAACAGTACCGCTCTCTCCTCCTGTAAGCATACTCAACCCAAAAGCAAGAGTCTTCTGTCTTCTGCAACAATGCTGACTGTACACGTATGTTCAGCTCCCAGTTTAAATGTGTATCAGCTCTTTTCCCCCAGCTTTTTACCTATAGGAAAAGCATTAATATTCAGCCACCAAAACTACACAGTTTTGCAAAGCATTTGGAGGTACAGCCTGCCTGAGTGACAACATGCAAAACAAATCTGTCATGTATGCAACTACTATTATGAGCTAAATAGAAATCAAGTATTTAAGAAGGATTTAGTGTTCCAGGTTTTAGAATCCTAAATATCAGTTAATCAGTTAAAGTGTCTTATGCATACCCACAAATCCATTTTGCAAAGCTCACTTATAATTACTCCCAAATCTGTCTGTCAGAGTTAATAATAAGCCCCAACTTTCAATATAATTTTCAAATTGAATTTTTGGTCTTTGACACTGTTTTTACCTGCTTTGTGAAAACAATGCTCTCTTGATACTTAATAAAAAGCCCATACAGGTAGCTACAAAAGGACTATCACAAAGAAAAGAATCATAACCAGAACCTCCTCCCTCCTTCTGCCCAAGTGTTCCCAGCTCAGTGTTCAGGCATGAGGGTCCATGGGAGCGCCAGGAGCAGTAAAATGAAAGAAAGGTTATTAAAAGGGGGGGAAAGGGGCATGGAATATACACTTTGTCCCACCAAAAGTCCATCTAACCCCATATCCTGTCCTTAACAGAAGCCAAAAATGAGACCCTAGAGCAGATACAGTGTGGACAACATACGTGATATTTCCAGTCAATATTCACCTCATCTTCAACTATGTGCAGCCTGAGGAATTCTGATCTTTAATGTGTTTTTTACTTATTTACTAATCCTCAGTTCATTTCTCTTGCACAAACCTATCCTTTTTCCCTGAACACAACTAAACTTTTAGCACCTAGAATTTCCCATGGCAAGGAGTTCCACGGATTACCCCGATACAAAGAGTGACCATGTCATCTAAAGAGCCAGGCCTCTTGCTAGTATCATCTGATCGTGCACATTTCTTAAAATGGAGGTAACAAATAACATCTGCAGCTTGTCCGCTCACTCCAGTCATCTATGACCTTGTTTGTATCCTGGTCTGACTTCATAAGGGACCCTACTTTAAGAAGAAGGTTGGACTTGCTGATATCCTGAGGTCTCTTCCAACCTCAATTATCCTGTGATCCTATGGTTTTACAGATATCTGTAGTTTCTCCCCGTAGTTTTTCTTCTTCCATTCAGAAGAATCCCAGACAACTTAGTTGTTCCTTATACAGAAACCAGCCCATACCTTTCAGGTTTTTTTGCCCTTCAGTCCTACAGTAGTCTTTCTGAGACAGAAAAACAGAAGCATCCACAACATGGCGGCTTCACCGTGTTCCCTGCTGTCCATTCCTTTCCCCAAAATTCCTAACATTTGATCTGCTTTTTTGACCAACATTATGTATTGAGATGATATTTTCATAGAGATATTTATCAGTGTCATTCTTGTGTGGTAAGTGCTTAGAGTTCATCACTGTCTATGGAAAGTTAGGGATGGTTTTTTCCTGAGCTCTCAAGAGTTCTCCTTTCTATGGGAAACTTAGCTGAACTACACACACTGTAACCTCTTGCTGGTGAAAAGAGGCAAAATTTTGTAAAGTTTTTCAAAATTGAAATGTACTTATTCAAGGCACTCGGGTGTTGCAACGCACAATGTTGTAACACTCCCTGCTTTCAGGAGCCCAGCTGCTGAGCAACATGAGCTCCTTCACAAGCCCAAAATCAGTGTTTGGCTACAGAAATCAATGAATGGGGAAAAGTGGTCACCTGAAGACTGGGATTCACAAACACCTGCACATTGAATATGCTAGGGAGAACCAACACAAGGTGCTGAAGTCAGGGCATGGGTTTTGGTCTCACATCTCAACTAATGTTTTCCTGCTCAGGTTTCACAGCTCTGAGCTCTTAGGTACTCCGAGGCACCTGATCCAGATAGATCATGTTTACAGATAATCACTGTTCTTTAACATTAAAAATTCCATGGCCAAAAGGCTGTTTTCCTGCAAACAAATAGCTAGGAGGTTTTTCTAATGTATACAAGTCAGTTAGGGGTATGATTCTTTTCATACTCCCATTTAACACAGATATGCAGACAAACTGTATAGCAGAACTGGCCTCATGTAGAAAACTGTATATATTTACTTATTTCAAAAGCAATTGCCTAATAAACAAGCAGTTGTGAAGAGCCCAGAAATGCCATAGCTTGTAATCAACTCTCATTGGTACATACCATATTGAATATTCTGCTCACCATGGAAGCTAAGCAAATATAATGCAAATTTACTAGATTTCATTCAGAAGGCAAAGGGATTTGGTTAACATCAAATTCAGCGGTCACTAATCCCACTTTCCCTGTCCCTTTCCACCCAAGTAACACAAATATTTAAATTCCCCAAATGGTAAAGTTCAACATCTTGAGCCCTGTTAAATCTTATAAGCCAAAGTAAATTCCATTTTTCTGATTAAACAGAGAGTATTTACAAAGATTATAAATAAACAGTGTGTGTGAGTTGTTCTTTTTCACACTACCTGACTAAGCACTTTTTACTTTGACATCATTCAGAATGCACCTTTTTGTCCAAAATAAAAGAAAATGCAGTCCATGTTGAGGGTAAGGGAATGTAACATTTCAGGCATGAAATCTTGCAAGAAGGTGCAAATAAACCTGTGCCTTGCCCAGGGTCTCTCTGTAACACCTTTCCCACCATGCTTTCCTCTGATTTCCTTCCTGGTCGCAATTGTTTTTGAAGTGAGGTTGTCCCTCCAAGGTGCTCAGTTGTCTTTAGTCCCTTCCATTGATTCTAACATATCTTTACACAGAAAAATGTCTAAGTAAAATAAAAAAAAGAAGACAAAAAAAGAAATCAAATACAAACAAACCCCCAAGTAGTATAACTACTGGGAAAATATCACTACAGAGTCAGTCAATTTTGCTAGTATAAGAACATTAGCCCTCATTCCCTCAGTGGTTCTCCACAGAAAATTAAACAACGTATTATGAGAGCTCAACTAATTTATTTCTTCAAAAGACTTGAGGTAAAAGGCCTTGTAAATGTTGCTGCTTACAGATAACAATACCTGTCAAGATTAGGACAGATTCCTCAAGCTTTGGAAGAGTTTTATCTCACATTTGCCATTTCAGTGCCTTCTCATTCCCTCTTCTGCAGCATTTCATGCCCAGTTTTACATCTCTGGATGCCCTGTTGACTGAAGACAGTGGGCACAAAATGATGCCCTGGGTGCCGGCCACTATCAGACTTGAGATACTGGAACATACAAAGCTGGGCGCATGGGTAAGTTAAGCCAACGGACTTCACCTCAACTCAGTAATGAACCAACTGATGTCAGGAGAAGACAGAGCCTCAGAGCCCACCTGAAGTTTGGTAGGTCATCCATCATATTTGCAGATGCAATTATCCACTGCAGCTCTCCTCAAAATAACCATCTCTGATTAATGTCCAAGAAGAAACATCACCATTCAAAAACAAAGACTACTAAAGTATTTATTCATGTTCTAAACAAGAAAATAATGGCTAGTTTTGAAAAACAGCACAAAAAATAAAACAACTTTGAAAGCAATAAAAGGAAATGCAGCGCTATTAGAGCACAGATCTCACCGCTGCCTTCTAATGTAGTTCTCAAGACCATGGAACCACACAATGAAATGAAAATTGAGATCTTTGTCTCATGACCGTCACTACCCTTCTGTGTGCAACAGCAGGCTGAATACTGGTTAAGGCATTTCAAGATTTAGATCAAAACTCCATACTCCTGCAACCCAAATTTCTTCAAAAATAGTAATATCAAAGGGAAGAAAGTTCAAAGATAAGGCTGTTATTTTGTTTTATGAGTAATAAAAATGTATAAATGACAAAAACATCACAGAAAAGGAATATATGTCCTTGTAAAACCAAGGCACACCCCCACAGGAGTGAATTACTGGTATTTTTAACACAGCAACTCAAGTTTGCACAGAAAACAACTACTTTACAGATTCTAGTTTTTCATTTTAATAAGCATTAAAGATCATAGGAGACAGCCAAGAGTTATGTAGTATCCTTTCCACCAATGTGCCTGTGCCATGTAAAGTGCATTTACAATGAGCAGAAAGAAATTTAAATCACTGTATACTCAGTCCCAGAAGCTGCTGCTCAAATTAATCCTGACCCAGCAAAAGAGCCAAGCACATGCTGAACTTTGAGTCAGTAAATAGTCCCGGCTAACTGTTTAATCACAGTGCTCCACACTTTTCAGGACAAATGATGTAGAGCCTGTCTCCAATGGAATCAACGAAAAAAACCAACTGCTGCTGGTGTGGCAGCAGCAACCCATATTTCATTAGCCCTCTGCAAAATGACAAGATAAACTGATTACTTCTAACTTGATGCTGCAGAAGCTACGGTCTGAATTTACAGGAAGCCAGCCACTTTGGAATAAAGACAGAAAAGTTACCTCTTATTTATGGCAAAGAAGGAGCCTACCCACCGGGAGTTACTGCAGTTAGTGACTGAGCTCATGCGTTAGCTTGTGCCCCTACCTTAAGGCGTTAATAGCCTTGTTGTTCAGAAGTTCTTGGATTTTTGTTTTGTTTGGGTTTTTTTAGCCACCTGGATTTGTAATTAACTGCAAAATGATGTAGAATTGGGAAAAGAAAGAAAAGAAGGTTACCTGAAGGCCCTCTATGGCTAATCTAAGCATGCTTGGTGTGAGCTTGGAGGCCTGCTTGAAAGTGAAGTTGCTCCAGTCTATAATCAAAACAAATCCATTCACTTGAAGCTCAGGGTCTTCTATCATGGCTTCTAAAGAAAGAAGTATGGCGCGCAAAATATCCACCAGTGTGTACCTGTGAACGTTAAGGGGAGATTTGGTTAGGAAAGGAGCAATGACTGCGGACGTGGAGAAGCTCTGAGCATTCTTCCTTTGTACTGCTTGTCAAAACTTTAAATCAAAGGAGTACAAACGTACCCTCAGGAGTCGTGGGTATGTAAATCTGGGAAAGTCTCAAAAGTTCAATTAGTTAAAATCCTCTGAAGCAGGATTATGTACATCTAAACCATCAGCCAGCCCAAACAAACTACAAGAATATAACACACCAAAAGCAAATTTGAACTTTTCTGTAGACTCCCAAGCTGCTTTAATATCTATGCATTTTATTAAATGTCTGTACTAACGTATCTATGCAAATTGCATTTTTCTAAAATTGTAATGAAAACAAAACCTGAGTCTAACACCTGAAGCCTAGACCCAAACTTTCCACCTATATTTTTCCAAGGGATTGAAATAACAGCTAAATTACCAGCTAAAATAGGCGTTTCCGCATGTTTCCCTTGTCCCTCTCTCCAGGTAATGTTTTCTCTTAAATCTACAAAGGGTTTTACAGAAGGCTGATTACTCAAGGATCTTGAAAGCAGAAAGTAACACACACTAGGGCTTTGAGGTGTTCCTGGTTAAGAGCAATAGCAACCTTTTAAGAGTTACTTCAGTGCCTTCTGAATACTCAGTACTTTGTATAACCAAATCATGTGGTTTCAGGAGTAAGTCTGGAACGTGGTATTCATCAGTCCTAGAATTTTCTACATTAAATTTGGGGTTACAAAGATGCCACCTACAATATCTAATTATGTGGTTTACATACATGTACATAATCTTTTCTTAGATCGATGACCTTGTAAAAGAAGACATAATTCCATATTGCCAAAGCCTGTTGAGTATAATCTGTCTTTTTTGAAGCTAAAGCACCTAATACAGCAGCTGAATAGCTTAAATATATACACCAATGTCATCTTTAGACTGCCATATAAAAGAGTTATTAATCAACTTGCAGTTTAGCTTATTGGGTTTTTTTAAAAAAGGCAAAACACCTGAATTATCTGGGCTTTTTTTAAGAGATATGAAAGTAGTAGTTTAACTTTTGATTTTTTCCAGGCTAACTATGTTTCATACGTAACTTTTTTTTTTTTGAAGGTAAGATAAATAGTTACTGAAACGATGTAAATTTGCCAGTCTGCACCACAGTATCAGATGCTGCATTAGACAGCTAAACCAGAATATTCCAGAATAAAAGTGTCCCTGATGGCATCAAACATAGAAGTTCTCAAAATTATGAGTCCCCAGGGAAATCTTCACCATACTGCATATGTAGCAAAGAGCTTGTGTGCCTATTTAGAAATTACATTAAATTATACTGAATTCTACTTGCTTTAATACAATACACACTGTTCCATTGAGTACATAACTATATTTTGAAAGTATCTGCACAAGGAAATAACACAAATGAAATTAATCTGCTCTAGCTGACTCCTCCCATCTTTCTTTTTTTTTTTTTTTTTTTAGCCAGCTAAACCTCAGTGAACTTCCCAACTATGCATTCCTAGGAAAGGGACTAGCAAAGGACTATCTTAATGTCAGCCTAACACAAGTGAACAAGAGAAAGTGTGTTTTCCCCAGAAAACATTAGGGGAAGCATTGTTTTACATTATTCTTCTCTTCATTTTGGAAACCCTTATTTTCTTTTCAATTGGGTTTTGTTGACTGAGGTAAAAGTTTTCATATTCACTCCTCTCCTCGTCACTTTTCTGAGATTTAACTTTTTTCTAAGGCTTTACTTTTCTGAGATCTGAGGTTTACAGGAAGTTTGGCATGCTCAGTCTTTTTTGTTCAGTTTTCTTCAACTGGGAGAGGAAACGGCGCAAGAAAAATTCTTCTCTGTAATTTCCCTATGGAAATCCTCAGAACACTAAAATTCTGTATTTCTTTTTGGCATGGAGAAAAAAAAAAAAAAAAAAAAAAAGACCATTTCTGTAAATGGAATTTTGTCCATTGGGGAAAAAAGGACATGCCTTAAAACCTATTTTGAAGGAAAACGTTCAAAACCTGGATCCTTGAAATTGCTAGCGTGATTTGATCATTAAAGAACTGTTAGGCCAGGTCCCCGTTTTTGCAGTAGGCACAGTGAAGCAAACCCGGAGCACCCTGCTTGCCCCAAGCAAACCTGCCTGGGGGCACAGGGGCTGCTGTGGCAGACCCAACGCCTCGGGCGTGGGGCAGCTGATGCTCCCCCTCCCCCCAAAGCAGAGCAGCTCCCCCAAGCCCAACCGCTGGACACGCGGGGAAAATGCCACCGCTGCAGCCGAGGCCTCTGAATAAGCAAACAAACAAACAAACACCCCCAGCGCCGCAGTGCAAAGAGCAACCTGAGGAAAAATGAAATCGTTCATCGGCTCTTTCCCAAATGAGGTTGTGCATGTAAAATGGGATCTGTAGGGAGTTTTTGGCAGCATGAAGATTACAGACGGTTTTACTGGCACTAAAAAGGTCTGAGTTTGCCTGGTGTATCTGCACACCAGTCTACCTAACCAATACAACACTGGTGCACCGACAGTGGACCTAATCAACATGGGAACTAAAAATCCCCTGTACGACATGCATTTTGTACAACTGCCAGCATCAGGATTAAAACATGCACTTAGCCTGAGAGAAGAAGGCTTACAAAGTCGTGTTCAGGGTTGGGGCTGGGATCAGAGTGCGGCCAACTGCCTTCAAACCCCTGGTTACCTCCACAAGGTGGCAGAGGTCTCTGAAATACTATTTTTTCATATCGCTTCATGAAATTAGATGGAGATACACCCTGTAAAAGGTCTTCCCAGGGGAAACAGTGCACTGGGAAGGAAATTACATCAGGTGAGACATTGGGAGAATAGCTAATGCCTCAGTCTGAGGAAGATCATCTATCAGAGCTCATACAAGAAACAAACATTAGAAATACTCAAATCCTAAAATTAGCCTCAACCCCACTTGACATTTATGCTTCCTCATTCAGAGGATCTCATGCTCCAGAAGAGCTCCACAAAGCAGAAGCCTGCTGCAAGCACCCTATATCCAGCCCAAGAAGATGGGTCCCAAGTTCCCGATGTAGGTCTCTAACATCCTCCCTAGGGAGTTCCGAAAGACGTCACAGGCCTCGGACTAACAGCTCCCTAGTGGCACCAGGCTGCTAGAAACCTGGTGCATTAGACATAAAGATTCTTTGTTTATGAGGCCAGTCAGGTCTCTAAGACTGGCCATAAAATGCTTTTATATATTCCTAAGTGATAAATATATAGATGTATACATGTAAACACAAATACACCTGATCATGTCCTGAATTCAGTCAAGTCAACAGGAAAACTGTCAGGCACCAATGAGACCAGGATTTCAGCCACCACAGCAAGTAACCAACGGTCACAGGGCTGGACTGTGATGATATTGTATGTTTACCCACTGAAAAAGACAAAAGGTTGTTCTCTCCGTGGAAACAAGCCCTGAAGAACACAGGGCTAGCCAAAAGCAAGCAAGAGTATCTTCTGCCAGAGGAAGGTATCCAAAGTGCTATTTAAGTCTAAAAAGCCACATCAGGAGTATACTGGGACACGTCCCTCACAACTAAGCCTCCCACCTCAAATCCCCTTCAGGGCAATTAGTTGAAGATAGGAGCCATCCTTCATTCTGTAATGGACCTCTTCTCTTGGTTTTGATACCTTACTTAAGTACAGTACAGAAAACCAGACAAGAAAGACAAATCCATTACTGGATATTTAAAGCAGCTTTTACTCTCGACACATGCCGAGGCAAGCCAGAAATGTAAACCCAGTGTGATGGATGAAATCTTAGGTGGTGCAAATGGCAAGCTGAGTATTGAAAGTATCAGCTGAACAGCACAAGCAAATGAAACATTATTAAATAAATTATACTGAAGCTTTCACACACCATAGAATTATTTGCATAAAGACTCATCTTTAATCCACTCTAGCCTCATGTTGTCCAACATTACACCTCACTGCTACTACTGCTCATGTCAGCACCAGGATTTTATGGCTCTGCCATAAAATACACTCCATCTTTGGCTGGACTTATGGGAAATTAAAATACTACATAAAAAGAAGGTGGGAAAAATTACTCTAGATTGTGTTGCTGAAAGTTTTCTTCCACACTGAATTAATTACTTTTCATAGAGATACAGAAATATAACAAATCAAAAGTGACAAAAATGGGATAAGCTAGTAAGTGTGAAATAAATTTGGTCCAAGATGGCTTTGACTGCCTTTCTACTTTAAAGAGAAAAAAAAATTTAAAAAAAAAAAAAATCAACATATTAGCCTTTAATTTTAAGAGACCGTGGTGTTCAGTCTGAGGGGGAAGATGGTATTGTTTTATTCTTACCAATCATCTGTGTTAAGTAACAGCGTGTATTTAGGGGACAGCAAGCCCCTCATTTTGCCCTGGCCCCAGTTTTACAATGACTGCTCCAGTGCTGTCAGGTACGTAGGGTGTGCTGGGCCAGATTTGCTGCAGTGCACATTCTGTTGTAGCCTGGAGTTAGGCTGTGCAGAAATAAATTCTTATTTACTTATGGCTAAATTCAGTTGCATTCACTTGTTTAAATAGACTCTTATGGGACATATTGTAACTAGCAAGGTATTACTAATTGCTACGATAATCAAGAACTCACGGTTAATTTAAATGTATTTAATGCCCTCTATTTATAGAGGCATGCTTAATTCAATGGAGAGCTTAGGCAACATTTTTAGCCCAGTTGTTAATGTGAATAACAAATGCTGGAAATATGTTAAAACATATATAATGCACTCTTACTGTTCCTTGTCTATGTGAGTCCCAGCTTGAGTTCAAATGAGCAGGGACACACTCTGCTACCTCTTCAAATTTTTCATTCAGGTTGACTTTAAAGCAATGAGCCTGGGAAGGCTTGACAAGTTAATAGCCACACTGACAGTGATTCTTTCAAATGCTTTGGGATGGCTACCATTACTACCACGACAGCGACAGAGCTTTCTAGGATAATGCCTC